CCCCTGAATAGACCTTACCAGGGAGGCTGAGGAGTGTGATCCCTCTGTAGTTGGAACACACCCTCCGGTCCCCCTTTTTAAAAAGAGGGACCACCACCCCGGTCTGCCAATCCAGAGGCACTCTCCCCGATGACCACGCGATGCTGCAGAGGCGTGTCAGCCAGGACAGCCCCACAGCATCCAGAGCCTTGAGGAACTCCGGGCGGATCTCATCCACCCCTGGGGCCTTGCCACCGAGGAGCTTTTTAACCACATCGGTGACTTCAACCACAGAGATAGGAGAGCCCACCTCAGGATCCTCAGACTCTGCTTCCTCCGAGGAAGGCGTGTTGGTGGAGTTGAGGAGGTCTTCGAAGTACTCTGCCCACCGGTTCACAACGTCCCGAGTCGAAGTCAGCAGCGCCCCATCCCCACTGTACACAGTGTTAGTGGTGCAATGCTTCCCCTTCCTGAGACGTCGGACGGTGGACCAGAATTTCCTTGAAGCCGTCCGGAAGTCGGCATCCATGGCCTCACCGAACTCCTCCCATGCCCGGGTTTTTGCCTCGGCGACCACCGAAGCTGCGTTCCGCTTAGCCAGTCGATACCCGTCAGCTGAAAAAGAGTCTACTTCTAAAATAACATAACCCTGTTCAGATGATTTTTTTTTTCCTGTTTTGTCTATGTTCCTGCGTTACTGCAAAGAGCCACATCATACCCTTCTCGCGCACGCACACACACACACACACACACACACACACACACACACACACACACACACACACACACACACACACACAAAGACACACAGATTAGTTCCCTGTGACTGACTGGCGACCAGTTCAGGGTGTAGTTTTCACTCCCACATCAATAACATTACCCGGTCTGCATATTTCCACCTCCGTAACATCAACCGTCTCCGTCCCTCTTTCAGCCCTTACACGACTGCTATTCTTGTTCACAGCCTCGTCACCTCCCGCATCGATTACTGCAATTCACTTCTCTTCGGCGTCCATCTCCAATTTCTCCATAAACTTCAACTTGTTCAGAATTCAGCAGCCCGGATCGTTACGAGAACCCCCTCCTTCCATCACATCACCCCCATCCTCTGACAGCTCCACTGGCTCCCCGTTAAACAAAGAATCAACTTTAAAATTCTCCTTTACACATTCAAAGCCATCCATAACCTTGCTCCCCCCTATCTATCAGATCTTCTTCAGATCTCTATCCCTTCCCGCTCACTCAGGTCTTCATCTTCCCTCCATCTCTCTGTACCCTCTGCCCGTCTCACCACAATGGGGTGCAGAGCCTTCAGCCGCTCTGCCCCCAAACTCTGGAACTCACTTCCACCCAACATTCGCAACATTGATTGTCTTCCCACATTCAAAACCCAGCTCAAAACTCACTTTTTCAGACGGGCTTATTCCACTTCAATATATCTCTTGTATTTATAATTTTATCTGTGGTTTTACTTATTCTTTATTTGTCTTATTGTTTGCTCGTCTGTAAAGTGTCCTTGGGTGTTGTGAAAGGCGCTTCAAATAAAATGTATTATTATTATTATTATAGTTTGTCATCCGCCGAAAGTCAGCTGAGATAGGCTCTCGCGACCCCTCGCGACCCTATTCAGGATAAGCGGCATTGGATCGCAAAAAGTCACAGGTGTGTCATTGTTTTACAGTCCCATGAATACGGATGGAGGGTTCAGTGAGAGTGTGTGTGTGACAGCTGGGCAGCCCGGTGGTCGGTTAGATGCCGGCTCTGGCCTTCCTGTGTGGAATTTGCATGTTCTCCCCGTGCCTGCGTGGGTTTTCTTCGGGTACTCGGGTTTCCTCCCACATTCCAAAAACATGCATGGCAGGCTGATTGAACACTCTAAATCAGGGGTGCCCAAACTTTTTGGACCTTAGATTGACTTTTCAATCAAACAACCTCCCGGGATCGCCCCTTACCGAGCACGTGCACGTGCACGCGCATGCACACACACACACACACACACACACACACACACACGCGCACGCACGCATGCCATGATGAGAAACAGCCTGACACGGAGGCATGCGATGCACCTTTGCAGCCTGTTAACTATCATAGCTCACACGTACCGTTTTAAAGTACTGCCCTGGGCCCTCTAGATTCCTATTCTTTGCCCGTGCCCTCGGTGAATTGTCCACGAAGCAAACTCTGAAGGAAACTAATGACGATAAAAGATATAGCGCAACAAGTCTGATCACAAGCTGCAATTGCAGACTGCTGAGCGCTAACAACTTCCGGTGACATAATCACGCGCCACCGTAGGTTAATGATTTACCTGTTTTATTTTATTTTTTAAATTTTTTTTTGTGAAAATGAGACTGATAGGATGATTTGGGTGCAGTGCACATTAACACAAAAAATATATTACAAACACGTACAAAGACACACAAATGGTTTTTTGTTTTTTTTCCTCCTCTACGCTGCTCGGATCTACTTGGGACCTGTCCTAGATCTACCGGTCGATCAGGATCGACGTAATAGGCACCCCTGCTCTAGATTGTCCCGAGGTGTGAGTGTGAGCGCAGATGGTTGTTCGTCTCTGTGTCCCCTGCCGACTGCCCGAAGACGGCGGGGATAGGCTCCAGCATCATGCCTCGCGACCCTTGTGAGGATAAAGCAGATCAGAAAATGGATGGATGGATGATGTGTGACCGCTCATTTCCTACCTCAGCTTGGTCCTGACCTTAGAATGTATTTGTGCTTGCACATTAAAGACACATTAAAAAAAAGAATAATACAAGCAAGTTTTGCCTCATGAGATTATAAGGTGAAATTGACAGCTTTCTATGAGTCTGAAAATGCCAGTATTTTATCATGGCTTGCAGTAACATATTGTTAAAAAAATAATAATAAAAAGAATATGAACCAAACATTGAACAAGTTTGCATTGAAAATGAACGTTTCCAACACTGGCCAACAGTAACTTTTAAGTCACTCCACCCATCCATCCATCCATCCATCCATCCATCCATCCATTCTCTACAACATAACCAGGGTCGGGTCGTGGTGGCAACAGCTTTACCAGGGAAGCCCAGAAGTTCCTCTCCCCAGCCACTTCTTCCAGTTCTTCCCGGGGGATCCCAAGGCGTTCCCAGACCAACCAGGAGAAAATATGGATGACCCAGCATGTCTTGGGTCATCCATTGGGCATCCTCTCGGTGGGACAGGTCCAGGAGGCATCCTAATCAGATACCCGAGCCACCTCATCTGGCTTCTCTCGACATGGTGGGGAAGCGGTTTGACTCTGAGCCCCTCCCAGATGACCCATGTTCTCAACTTATGTCTAAGGGAGTTCGAAAACAAACTGAAAATTGATCAGACAAAAACTCCTTAACAAAAATATTTCTTCACAAAAAGTGAAGACAAAGTATGAACAGAAATCGCTGGTCAACAATAACCAGGAAAAACAAGACAGCAACAAAGAACGCTTGCAAAGGCAACGAAGTAATTAACCGGAGGATATCAAATGAAATGACAAGAGACAAAAGAATAGCAAGATCAAATGACTCCCCAAAGACTACACTGATAATAATGTGGAATTAAGATAACAAAAACGACTATGATGAGAGTGAGAGGTCTAGAAAACAAACACTTCAGCAAGAGCAGCATTAATGTCCAAATAATCCGACAAGCTTCTCAATCCTTAAATACATGGCGAATGATCATGGGCAGCAGGTTTGCACACTGAAGGAAAGGCCCTCATCTGCCTCCTGCTGGAGATACACAACAACAAGATCATGACAGTACCACCCCCTCAATGGATGCCTCCTGGCAGACTAGCTGGTTTTGACGGATGCGTTGAGATGAGGGTACAGAGAAGGGACAGGTCCAAGATCCAAGAGCAGGGATCCACTGCCGTTCTTCCGGTCCGTACCCCTCCCAGTAAACCAAGTATTAGACACTCCTACCCATACACCTAGAGTCCAAAATTTATCTCACCGTGTCCACATCTAACACCCACGGAGGAGGAGGCGGGGTGGGAGGAGCCAGGGGACTGATGCCACAGGTTTGAGTAGGGAAACGTTGAAGACGGGATGGACCTTCATCGTTGATGCCAGCCAGAGCTTGACGGAAACGGGGTTGATGATGGCTTCCACCTCAAAAAAATCACGTGAACCGTGGTCCCAATTTGAGTGATGTGCTGGCAAGATGTAAGTCCCGGGTAGAGAGCCACACCTTCTGCCCAACATGGTGCTGGGCGACACCAACGATCACGCGATTGGTAGAGGCGGTACGTGACAGGGCGGCTCTGGTCTCCCTCCAGATTCTGTGGGCCTACCACAAGTGGAGTTGAACTGAGGGGATCTCCACCAGTACTTCCTGCGACTGGAACAGCGGCAGTTGGTATCCGTAGGCAGCCGTGAAGGAAGACCACCCTGTGGCTGACGAGACAAGGGTGTGGTGCACATACTCATCCCATGGCAGATGGGTGGCCTGTGCCGTTGGTTGGTGAAGGCAAACACACATTGAAGAGCTGATTCCAAGTCCTGATTCTTTTTCTCTGTTTGACCATTGCATTGAGGGTGATACCCATAAGACAGGCTTGCCATGGCTCCCAGGACTTGGCAGAAGCATTACCAGACCTTGGAGATGAATTGAGGACCACGGTCGGACGCAATGTCCACCGAGATCTCATGAATTGGAAGACCCGGGTAATGACAATTTGGGCGGTCTACAGGGCGGATGGCAGCTTGGACAAAGCAATGAAGTGAGCAGATTTAGGGAAGCGGTCGACAATGATGAGAATGACAGACTTGCCTCATGAAGGAGGAAGACCGGTGATGAAGTCCATGGAGATGTGGGACGAAGGTTGAGGTGGAACTGATAGAGGTTATAGCAACCCAGCCTGTGGTTGGTGGATGCTTTACTGCAGGCACAGGTGGAGCAGGCTTTGATGTAGTCCATAACATCCTTCTTAAGCTCCGGCCACCAAAATTGCTGCGTGATGAGATAGAAGGTGCAGGTCTACCCTGGGATGACAAGCCACCTTGGACGTGTGCCCCCACTGCAACACCTCCGAGCGTAGATGTGGGGGCACAAATAGCTTCCCTGTGAGACATCCAGCCAGGACTTGGGTTCCTTCTTGAGACTCCTAGATCTTCTGTTCGATTTCCCACCTCAGCGCCCCCACTATGCAATGATTTGGCAAGATGTTATCTGGTTCGGTACTCTCCTCGGCAGGTTCATGGACCCAGGACAGGGCATCCGGCTTCACATTCTTGAAACCAGGATGGTAGGTGAGTGTGAAATTGTAGCAACTGAATAGTAATGCCCACTGTGCTTGACATGAGTTCATTCTCTTAGCTGAATAAATGTATGAGAGGTTTATGTGGTGGGTGTACACGGTGAATGGCTCCTTTGTTCCTTCGAGTCAGTGTCTCCACTCTTGTAGGGCTGTGATGATGGCCAACAATTCCCGGTTTCCCATGTCGCAGTTGGCTTCTGTGGGACTGAGTCGACATGAGAAAAAGGCACAGGGGTGGAGTCTCTGGTCGACTGGGGAACCCTGGGATAGCACAGCCCCCACTCCTGAATCTGAAGAGTTCACTTCTACAATGAAAGGGATGTTAGGATTAGCATGGTGTAAAACTTGTGGGTTAGAGAAGGCATTCCTTAATTGTTCAAAAGGTGTTTCGGCTTTCGGATCCCACATGAATGGGACTTTTACGGAGGTTAAATGGAACATAGATCGACCGATAAATCAAGAGCTTCACCTTTTGGCTCAGCTCCTTCACCATGACAGACCAATACAAAGTTCGCAGAACAGCAGATGCTGCTCTGATCCATCTGTCGATCTCCCGCTCTATTGTGCCCTTCCTGGTGAACAAGACTCCACGATACTTAAACTCCTCCACTTGGAGGAAGATCTCATCCTCACTCCACCCTTTTCTGACTAAGGACCATTGTTTCAGATTTGGAGGTGCTGATTTTCATTCCAGCCGCTTCACATTCGGCTGCGAACCGCTCCAGTGAGAGTTAGAGATCCCAGGTTGAAGAAGCTAACAGCACCACATCATCT